CCAGAGATACCTGTTAACATTTTTTTCAAAAAATGAAAGAAGAAAGTACTCTTGTTGTTGGTTTGTTTTCTAATTGTAAAAATAATATATATTTTTTCAAAAAATACTCAGACAATTTAGGAATGTTTGTTTAAAGAAGAGAGTAAAAGATAACCATACACCCACCACTGAGATGCAACATGTTAACAGTTTTGCTGCATAACTTTTCAGGCTTTTAAAATTATATATGTGCATGAAATTGGTTTCTACAAAAATAGGCTAATACTACATATACTACTTTGTTATTTGAAAATACATGTTTATAAATATATTATGATCATTCTTCCAAGTATTTATAACATTTAGTATTTTTAGTAAATGTTTTGCTCTTGCTGAATTAAATCAATATCAAATATTCATAACTGCACCAGATCCCTCTCCAATGGTCTGCTGTTGTCAGTTGAATGAGCCCTATGTATCTTTGTTTTCTTTTTTCCAGGGAGACCGGAAAATATTTTATTCTGTCAAGTACGAAATCAAGGAGGGCGACTGTCCTGCTCAAAGTGGCAAAACCTGGCAAGACTGTGACTACAAAGAACCTGAGCAAGCTGTAAGTGTGATGGTCCGGAGCCTCCAGTTTTCTCAATTGAGACCAAATTATTCTGTTAGTGCTGGGGGTGATGAGTACTGTGGAGCCTGTTTGTGAGGAGTGCACATAAATGCTCATATGTGTACAAAAGGCAAATGGTTGATGTTTGCACAGATGCACAGACAGAAAGGGCATGAGAGGCCAGCCATGAGATTGGAGAAAGCCCTCCCATGAAGAGGGGACTCAATTGGGTGCCCCTCCCATGAAGAGGGGACTCCTATGACCAATTGGGTGCTTTATTTGTGCAGACCTGAGTTGGAATTCTACTCTGCCTCTAATTAGCTGACCACTGTTAACCCATGGGCTCCCTTGTAAGAGGTAAAATGAACCTAAATTGGAAGATGAAAAGGGATACATATGAAAAGACCTTGTTTTAATAACAAGGAATCTTAACTAAATGCCTAACATCTGTTTGCCATACCACAGCTGCTGGTTGTTTAACTTTAACTGAGGGAGCGAACAGCCAATGTCTGCCAGGAAGGAAGCCACTCTTTCCACAGTCCATGGACTCACCTCTTTAATGTGTAAAAACGTTATTGGTGGAAATGGGGTGTCCACTGGTGGGAAGTGGGGGATCTGTTTCCCCACAGGATGTTGGGGGTATGGGCCTCATGATATCTTGAGAAAAAGAACTTTCTAAGACTCACACAGGAAGATGAGAGATCTTTATTTGTGTGGAATTCCATATCTGCATTTCTAAAGTCCCATTTCCCTTAAACCAGTCCTAAAAGAGGTGCAGCCAAACCAATGTCCCAAGTTTCCATTCCATGGTGGAGCTGGGTCTAGCACAGCACCAGGCTAGTTCCCTTCCATTAGTCCATTGTGTGTGTGGGTGGGGGTTGGGGGGGAGGGGACATATGGCTGTGGGCCATGTGGTTGTATGCAGGGGAGTGTGTCCCCTGCAACAAGAGAGCCAGGAGCCCCA